CAAGACACTTTAGACGATGCCATTAGTTTCTTTGGGGTTCACCGGACCGCCTCTCATGCCTCCCAGATTGCGGTTATAGGCGGGACCGGGAAGTTTGAGCACGCCAAAGGGTATGCCATAGTTGAAACTCTGCATAACCAGGACAACCAGCATATCACTGATGGTCAAGATACCATCCTCCATTTCAGTGTATACCTCACCTACAAAGCTTGAGGAGAAAATGAGACTTAAAACAAGAAATGATTGCTTCTGTATATGTTCTTGCTCACTAGACTCCGCTTGGGGCCTTTTTCCTTTGTTGTGCAAATCTGATTTCTAAAGAAATTTATTTAAATGAGACTGTTTCAATCAAAATCTTGTTTCATTCACACAAAAAACTTGTTGAAACACTTTGACAAATGGGTGCAAGTCACAATAAGCTTTTGAAGCAATGTGACTGACTTGCTAAGAGGCCAATCCTAGACCTGAAAAAGAAACTATTTGTATACAAGCCAAATGCAACTACTACTCTGTTTCTAGTCTCAATCAAAATGCAGAGATTGCAATGTGAATCAGAAAAGAATTGAACGAATCCCTCTATACCCTACATGAAGCTGACAACCTCAGCCAACAACTCATCTACTATCAAGCTTTCTAATTCACAAACCACTGACTCATCATCAGCTTCGAGTTCTAACCACTCATCAATGTCTATGACTGGCACTTTAGCCAATGATTCTTTTTTTGCTCGCTTCTCTTGCCTGGCAAGTACTTTCCAGAGTTCTTGTTTCAGTCCACATGTGCTTAGCGTGGTGCCAAGCCTTCTAAAAACGGGTTTCTTCCATGTTGGTGTAGCTGAAAAGGATTCTAGAATCTCTACAAGACCTGAATTGACTCTGTCAAACAAAATCTTTCTTTCAGATCTTTTCCAAGATGTCTCTGCGTAATACTTCTTCTCCAGTTTCTCAAAGATCTTGGGGATGATGACTAAATCCAGTGAATCACGTTTGCCAGGAACCCAGTTCTTGTCCCCAAGTACAACTTCAGCCAATATATCATCAATGTAAGAAGAATCCCTGCTTTCTTGGGTATCCAAGAACCCGATTGGTGTACTGTCCTTGCTTTCTTTGGTTTCAGAATCAAGAACGGACTCCTCATCGCTTGATACTTCCATCCCACTCCCATCTGAATAACTCTCAGATTCAGATTTCAGGGTTTCCAGCTGTTTCTCTAGACCTATTGAGATTAACACAAAAGGTTTATTACAGTTTTTTCACATTGCAGCAACAAATATTTACAGCTACAAAACTTGTTCCTTACTTTGAAAATCGGGATAAGGAAGATCTTCACTGTCGTCTAAAATATCTTCACTGTCGTCTAAGATATCTTCGTAAAACATTGGCTCCAGAACAGAAACAGGACTAGGTTGATGAGCTTCTTCCGAGTTCGTCAGACATTCCAGAGATGCATTGGAGCAATCTAATGACTCATCATTTTTATCCTGCGGTTCAGTAGAACATCAACATTAGCTTCAAGAGTTCATGCATAACATCTCCTTTAAGCAAAAGTTGCTAGGAGTAATGTAACTCAGTGACTGTTCAGTTTGCATTAATTAACTTCTAAAGAATGTTACATTATTTAACATTATTAACACAAAAATCAGTAGCAGCATATCACAAGTTTAACATTATTAACACGAAAAGGAATTTGAAGGTGAAGGAACTTGGTCTCAAAATTGAAGGAACTCAAGGTAAAGGAAACTATTAGAAATGGTCTGATTCCTCCATACAGTCAAACCTTGGACAATTTTGGGATAGTTATAATGAGATCAGTAAGGTTACCTTGCTAATGAAACCTGAAGAAGATAAATCCTTGAACTTCACATCTGCTGCAACTCTGTCCCTAGTTGTACTAACCATCAAACTGGATTTAACTTCTCTCACAACTCTCTCCTTCTTCTGACCAAATGTAGTACCATCAAAAAGTTTCTTCATTTCCTTTGGTTTCTCCTCAAAAGAAAGGTCTTTCACTTTCTTCCTATCTCCTAAACAAGAACCACTACCGAAACCAAGAGGAGTGAAATATCTCAGAGAATTCTCTTTCTTCCGGAATTTGTGTTTCAGAGTATCAACACTTGTTGTGTGATGATGTCTCAACTTTGACTTCAAGTTTTGATGATATCTCCTACCATAATTCCTATGAGGAGGCTTAGCTAGTGCATCAATTATACCCTTGGAAGCCAACAAATTGGGTTTCCGGAGATAAACTCGACAAAGTTCCTGCGTTGGAATCACTGTGAAACCAGAAATGGACTCCTTTTGGATTTGTTGGTTCTGTTTCTTAACAACTCTCAGCTTATCTTGATGCAGAGGCTGAAATAGTCCATTAAAACGCATCGATCTCTCAATCACGGAGGATGATCTAATTTCCTTAGACTCCATTTCTTTTGAGACCTCACACCAACTCTTCAGGAATCAACATACACCCAGAATAGAAACGAAGTAATCTGCACAAAGATGATAGCTTTGGAAGTTGTAATCAGAGAAAATCTAACAAATCAAGAGCAACCCAGAAAATGGAAATCAAAATCGAGAAAAAGGGCAAAAGCAAATTCGAACCTTTATCACTAAAAGATCTTGAAAGATTCACCGATCCCAATCTGGGAAAAGAACCTTTTACGAGAAAATTTGAAGGATAATTAGATTGACTTCCAATTATGAACTGAAAAAAATGGAAACTTTGCTTAAAATTTAGGTAAACAAGATTGGATTGAAGAGAGAAAGAAGAAACAAACCTGGGTCACAATCACACTTGTTCAAATTGTTGAAGAAGAAGAGAAACGAAATCGACGTCAAAAATGGTCAGTTACACGAAATCTTTGACAATTTAATAATAAAATTTCTGTTTATTTAATTCAAAAGACTCCAATAATTTTGGCATGGGACCGTTAAAAAAAATGATCCATGCAAAGAATATGAAAACGACGTCCCTTCGTTGTTTATTAAATTTCCCTCGTCAAACTTCAAAGTTCAAACGAGAACAATCTCTCTATATTTAATTCAATGCATTCACAATGAAGTTAAAAACATTCACTAAGTTTTTTTTATATAACTTTATCTAATGTTTATTATAAGTCATATATATTACACAATTAATGATTTTTTTACAATCACTTTCTTCAAAAAAAAAATGATTTTTTTACAATCATATTTATAAGGTAATGCTATTATTATATTCTTAAGCTATGCAGTAAATATCTTAATTCTTAATATTCAGATATAGGATTTACATATTACATATTGAATAAAGATTTATTATTCTTAGATTATATTTTTATATTTGGAAATGGAATTTTAAAATGGCAAAATATAATTTGACTTAAGAAGACATAATCGACAAAGTGACAAAAACCTACACAACCAATATAATGAAAATAATAACACTAAAAGGACAAGTGTATATGCATTACTCACATATGCATTTTTAACTCAAATTTAAGGAGCATTCCTAAGGATTACAATTATATCTTGTTTACTTTAGCTAATTATCTTTCTTTTTTTTGTCAACTAGCTAATTATCTATTATTTAGATCATTTACTACTGAAGTTCATGAAAACTCAATGGATCGCATTGTCTTTGTGCTAACAACAATTACAATCATAAAATTGAATAATATAAACCCTTAAGGTTAAAAATTTACAAGAAAATTATAAGAAATTACAAAAAATATATATATATTTGGAAACCAAAAACCAAACTAAAATAGACAAATATTTTCTTCTAATTTTTTTTTTCAAAATTAAATAGATATATCAGAAAATATAGTAACTTATCATATATCCTCAACATATTTGGTCCGGTTTGGACTTTTCTGAAGATGTTTCAAATCATAAAACAGACAAAAAAACTGATGGATGAGGAATCAGAAGAGTCTTGGTAGACTCGTTTAGAGCAGACATGATACACGAAACAAATCCAATGCTTGTAATGACTGTTATTAAAGGAAATGACGTGATTTCTCTAAATCAAAAGTATCATTTTCATCTCTTAGAAAAAAGTTTTACAGAAATACATGATCTATGCTCGAACAAGCCTTGAGAATTTCATGTCTTAGATTTACTTACTAGCTTGTTTTACAAGATGTTTTGTTCAAAACCCAAAACGGTTAATGCCACTTCATATTTTATCCTTTGCAACCAAGTCTTCCACTTTCACTGGTTTATGCAGCTGCAGTCAAATCATTGTTCTCAACCAAGTTAGGAACCAAAAAAAACCTGCAACTTATGAACCAAAACCAACAAGATATGGATGGAACTATAAAGTATACACTCACCGCTTCTGCAATGCTAAACCAATGAAAAGAACGTAAGAAAGTATCGTCCTTTGAAGGAAGACTATCGTGATTCCAATATGTCAGGTTGTCGAATTTGGCCTTCACTTCCCAACACTGGTTCTCTTCTGCGGGCATAGAAGCTTTTCTCTTTCCATTAGCATTCAGGTTACTCGCTTGTCCAAGCACAAAGCCTGAAGGGATAACATATGAACAGGCCAAACACAAATGACTTGTCAATAACCAGAACATAAATTCTCCAACATCAAAAATAGTAGCAGATTCATCAGGACATCTTAAAACTTTCTAACTAAGATCTCCATCAACAGGAATATGTACATTAATTCCATCACTCTTGAGAAATATCCACAAGAAATTCAAAAGTTCCACCTTTCCATCAGTAAGAAAGAAGAGAAAAAGGTACCAGAATAGCCACTAGGAAGTGAGATAGTTGCTCCCTGCAACTTCCTTCCTCTGAAATGAGCTTCTTCAGTTCTTACTCCATCGATTTCAACATCTACAAATTCAACAGCTCTCCACATTAATCTCACTATACAATACACAAGTGAAAAACAGAATTACATATACAAAGAAGTGTTCTCTGTTACCACTGGATTGAGGCTTGAAATAGTGGGAAACATCAGCAGGACCATCAAATCTAATGCAGCAAGGGAGCTGGTGAACTTGACTCCTGAGATCCGCAATCGAGTTTTCATCTGCAGCAGCTCTAAGGTCTATGGTTCCCATCAAAGCCCACTTGTATCAATTCCTCAGATTTCTGTACCAAAGAAAATGAAGAAGAATTGATCCAATTTTGCCGCAATTTGGACAATGGGTTAAATCCCAAACCCATAAATCACTAGTCAAATTGGTATTAATCAACCTATATGAGCAATCGTCTTATAACAAAATCACAGTAGAAAACAACCTAATCTATCAAAATTTGTTCTCTGTTTTTTTATATATCAATCCATAAAGTATCAATTTTGATACCTCAAAGATGATAACCAAATGAACCCAGGAGCTAAATACATGAGAAATATCCCTCCAGTCCCAGATTTTGAGTTCTAGTTCGAACAAAACTCGAAAAAAAGGAAGATTTTTTATGTAAGTGACATCAATTTGGTGACGAGATTTAAACTCTATCAATACAGAATAGCAGAGAAGAAGAAGCAAATAAAACGGAAATCACAAAATGCCAAACACAAGTCTTACATTACAAAATCAAGCAAAAGCGCACGACGGAGAAGCTAAAATTGATTGAGAGAATTGGTCTCTCAAAGAAAAGTGCTAATTAGGGCTTTGTGGTTTTTCCAAGGTGGGTTATGGACTGAATGTTTGTTTACTAGTTTTTGGTTTTTGTTTTTTTTGAAAATCTTTTTTTTAAAACACACCAATTTAAAATTTTCTTTCATCTTTTAACAAAAAAAAAAAACACTTTTCACAAATATTGTATATGTCTCTTTATAAGTTGCTAGGAAACTTCATAACAAAAGATGGTTAGAGGCTTGTTCTGTTAGTTTAAATGGCGGTACAAGTTTGTTCAAGGCTGAAGTGGTTAAACAAATGATTGTAAGTACAATACATTGAATCCTAAAAAAAATGATTGTAAGTACCCTTTATAGGCTTGTTCTGTTAGTTTAAATGGCGGTACAAGTTTGTTCAAGGCTGAAGTGGTTAAACAAATGATTGTAAGTACAATACAATCTAAGTTAATTAATGCATTGTTTACTAACCGGATGATTCTGGTTTTCTGCATATGATTCAAGAAAAGTTTGATTCCAAGTTCAGTGCACAAGAGGAGAATCAAAAGTCAACAAGACTACAAGAGTATCAAGTTTGCAGATGTTGATATGGACAGTTACCAGACTGAATCACGTTCATGGTGTGCGGCATATATAGGTAGAAGACTCTGTGTGATTGGTTCCAGGATTCAAAGAGAACAAGATAGGTTCGATGCATATAAGGCTAACACAAGTCTGTGCTTAGTGCTGGTTTCATCACCAAAGACTCACGGCTGCTAAGCAGGGATTCAAGTTATGAAAGAGGTTCAGTACAGAGTTGAGTTCTAAGGGATAAATCTCGGAGTAGACTTCAAGTTTTGAAGCAGGATTGCTGTTATGAAGCATTTAATCCAAGGATCCAACAGATGAGAAGTGGAGTTCTCAGAGAAGTCACAAGAAGAAGTGGTTGTTTTGAGAAAAATATGATTGCAGAGTGGTAATATAAGTTGCAGAAAGAAGAAGGCCCGAGGAAATGGATCATCATCTGTTTTGTGTCATTACCTAAATAATCACTTTAGGATGCTTGTTCTTTTGGCATGATCCCAATTAGTTAGTTGTTCCCGGCATGAACAGGTCACTATAACTCTTAGATTAGGAACAGGTCACATGACCCCACAATTGGTGATTTCTACTGGTAATGGTTGACATATATAAGAAGAATGATAGTGCAACACTAAAAGGATCCATCACTGGAGCTCATCATTAATCACGATTTCCTTTTACACTTGAATCACTCTAGTCACTAAAAGCTGAATCCATTTACTAATGAGAGTAATGGCTTAGTCAATATGGTTATTACCTCTAGAGAATTTGAAAATTTTATCACTTGGCATCACTTGAATTGAACATAAGATCATTGATTCTTGTAATATCAATGTCAGAGATTGGATCTATAGGCCTGTCTTCACCTTCCTCCATCCCAGCATCAAGTTCCCCAGGTTCTCTACTGTACTCATCTGCCATAACAAACAAACAAAAAATTAGAGTCATCATCATCTTAAGCAAACTCCCAAAACCATGCCCTGCAGATACAACATTTTAAAACATTCTAGCTTGAAGAACATTTTTTGGAAACAATTTTCATATCTCAAACAACATCAGATGAGAGGAAATTAAAGAGCGGTGCGGGCACTCACCAAACAAGGTATTGAGAGAGGTTGGGGGTGGAGTGGCGATGAAGTTGAGACCAATGTAAAAAGCCAAAGCTAACATCAGGGTCACCATCAAATACGTCGGCATAGCCAATACCCAGTACCTACTTGGGTAGTAATGGATTCCTATAGACTCCAACAACTTATCTGGTACATATGCCCAAATCAAGAAGATCACTGTGGCAACAACAGTCGATATCGACCCTACAAAACCATAAACCTCTGAGGGTTTGGGTCCATGCACTTCTGATGCTCGAAATGGAGATGACCTTCTACTATCTGTATCCTGGAAACCAGGCTTTTGCTTCTTTCTCTTCGAGAAGCTTAAAACTCGTCTCGGACTACTCACTGAATGGGCTTCTTCCATGTTTTGGACAAAGGAAGAGACTGAGAAATTACTGCAAAGATCAAGAAAGACCAAATTGAAGGACTACACAAAAACGAGCTAAAATCAGGTACATTGCATAAGACTTGGAAACATAAATATCAGAAATGGGAAAGCTCTTGGGTTCAAATCTATGATGCATCCAAACTCTAGGAACAATGGTCAGGAACGAATTCTAAAAAATCCAACAGGTGCTAACAAAGTTGTACATGACACAGATATCAAAGCACACAGTTGCTTCTCTTGCCAAGAAAATGAGACTGTCATCAAAGTATAAACTAAAAAATTTCCCAGACTAGAAAATGAAATCATCATCTATCCAGAACTTTTATCTCTAACTCCATCAATATTGCTCCAACCAAAGCCAATGTTACAAAAGATGATTCCAGAAACTACAAGCAAAGAATATATCTCAAACCAAATCAATTAAGTCCATTAAAAAAATTCAACACCCCAAGCAACCATGACCTCTTCGAATTTTGACTCAATTTTGGAGCAGGTCATATTAAGAACAACAAAACAGACACCCAATCAGTCGAAACTCATCTAACAGATTCGTAATTGAAAAATTAAAGCAATCAACAAAAAAAGACAGAACAACTTACACAATGATCTTTCTCGATGTGAAGCTCCGTACTCAAGCTGGCGTTTATGTCGAAATTTCCGATAACCGAAAAAAAGTGAGAGAATAATTAAAAAATCGAGATTCAGCGAGCAATAAAAAAAAAACCATTTGATTCTTTAATTCAACAGCAAATTATATAATTTAAGGTTTAAAATTGAACTAATTATTAATGGGGGATGGGGAGGCCCGCACAAGAGAGTTCTGCAAAAGTAAGCAGCGTCAACACTCGCACCAGCCTATTTACCCTTCCATAAATTCTTGCGCCATTTTCAATGTTTTACGATTTAGCGCTGCGACCGGCTCTCACCGTTCGCTTTGTTTTCCTTACTCATTAGTTTAAGGCAATGTTTCTCGTCCTTCACCTTCAACGCTTTATACTAGTCTTCACATGACTCTCACGGCTCGGCTTCTCGATGTGGGACGAAAACACACTCCAATAACTCAAGAGTAAACCGAACTCTCAAACCGAAATGGCTTTGGTTAATTACCAAACCGAATCAAAGCCTATAGTATATAAATCGACCAAAAGCATCCATCCGCCGAAATTTGGAACCACTACCTTGAGGACGAAGGATAGACCAAGCACAATAGGGCTGACTGCTGAGGGAGAGAAGCATTTGGCAGAACCTATGCCTACATGCAGTGTAAATTCTTCCATCATTCTTATATACATACTTTTTAACCATGATTGGGTTTTGTTTTGTCATAACTGACTGACTAGTGTTCCTTTAGTGTCGGTCGAATTTGTCACAATCCTCTGCTTCTCTAAGGGTTCCTTCTTTTGGGATTTGTTCGTTATAATGACTAGTGTTCCTTTGATTCGAATTTTCACACTCCTCTGTTTCTAGGGTACCTTATTTTATGTTGATAGGATCTTAATATATATTTGATTTTTTTCTAACAATGGGTGTTAATTAGAGAAATACCATTGCAGATTGATTATGGCTGATTATATATTGTATAGGGGAAACCAATAAGTTCGACGGGGGTAAATGCTACTTCCCAGGTAACATGCCTGAGTGGCCGACAGAGGATCCTTTCGACAATGGAAAGCGGTTTTACGTGGTAAGATTTAAGACACTCTTGAGTTTTGTGCTTTGCTCATGATCAACAATTAGTAGTGAGTGATGATATATATGTTTTGCTTTTGCAGTTGAAAAATTCAGAGATGCAAGACAATGACTGGATTCGGCTATATTTGGAACTTGCAGTCGCCAAATATACAAGCGACAAAAAGGATCCTGATCTGTCCAACTTGAAGATTGTGAATGTGGCAATAGATATCCAAGATCTGAATGAGGGACTCAATGCCAAAAATGCAACTGTCTACATAAGTTACAAGGACGAGGCTCGGGTGGGTAAGGATGTTGATCGCATAGCTATAGCTAGAAGAAACTTTGATGAGCGTACAGGGTGTTTCAGTCTCATGGGTAAGCATCAGAGTTTAGAAATTATACCAAAAAAGGGTGAGAATCAGAGTGAGGACGACCCGTGTGACGATGTTGATCACATTAGAAGAAGCTTCTATGAGCATACAAGATGCTTCAATCCCAAGAATCAGGATTTGAGTGCAGAAAACAAGTGTAAGTATCAGCGTGTTATCCGGCGTTTACGCGTTATCAAACCGTGGCGGTTTTCGAGTCCTAGGCGTTGGCAGCCCGAGCCTTACAGAAAAAGTTGCTGTCGCTGTACTCCTCGTCTGCACAAGACAAGATCCATTTGAAAATGTTAATCAGAGAATAAACTATTAATGGTTTTTGTGCAATTTGTGTGGTTTCTATAATGTCCTCTGCTTGAGACTAATTTAACATATGTCTACTTTATTCATTGAGACTGGAAGAGAAGTTCTAATCTTGTTGCTAAATGAAACACGCAAAACAAAAGTAGATAGTTACAAAGGTACTCCTTTATCTCACAATTGTCTACTAAACAACAATACAGTGAAGATTAATTTGTAAAGATTTAGAAACGTAGAGAACTTGAAAAGGAGAAACAGCTAACGGTGGGATCTAGCGTGCTCGGGTTTGTGAGTGTACTCATAATCAAGATGCACAAAAGCCCGTTCGATCTCCTCTAGCAGCTCGAGCTTCTCTTGCAGCGATTCTCCAATGTCGTGAGCCGCTTGCAGAGGCATGTCAGCTGGGAGAACAATGTCAACCTCCACAAAATAATGAGAGCCAAACGTGTAAGCCCTGACTGTATCAATGTGCCTAATTGCTTTATGGTGGTTCCAACACAGGTAAGTTAGTTTCTGCAGATACTCTGGTCTAGCTGATTTCCCAACAAGAGAGTTCACGTTCTCCAATACCGTCATTGACCATGTCCGTATCGTGTATAATGCAAGCTTCATGAATTAAGAAACAATTTCAGTAAGGTAACTTAATTTGGTTTTTAAAAATTTGGAAACTTACAATGATAGCTCCAACGGGATCAATCCAATCGTCGATGTAATTGGCAAGGATTACTGCAATGAGTCCAATGATGTTTGTGATGACGTCGAAGAAGTGATCTTGAGCATAAGCTTTAACGATCTCGTTAGTGAAGGATCTGCAGTAAAGAACCAGAAGCAGTTTGACCAATGTAACAGAAAGCATGATCCCAACTACCCAACTCTCTTGCTCTTTTGTTAGGTTGAACTCCTTGTGCTGTATGAAAGAGATTTCGTGAATAATGTATGACTTTCAAAACTCTAGACCAAAGCTAGGTGATCAAGTTTCAGACATACGCTGGATAACATGGTGCGAAGAGATTCCAAGATAATCTGCAATCCAAGTGTTGCCATCACTGATGCAAAGACTAGGATTCCCTGAGAGGATTTGACCAAGAATCACATTGAGTAACAGGAAAAACTTTGTTGACTTGTCGTAGTTGTTAATAGTTGCACAGAGAAATCAATAGCACAACACAAGTTCGCTTAGGCTGATTCGATAACATAACATATAATATAATATACTAATGGAAGAGATATACAATATTTAAAAGGATGATACAAACCAGTGGTTGCATGCGTTTCTTGCCAATGGGATACTGATACGGGTTGGGTGTCTGCATGGAGAAGGCGGTAAACCAGAGGATGAAGCCAGAAAGAAGATCAAGAAGAGAGTCCAATGTAGAGGCAATGATTGCTAAAGAGCCACTTGTGACAGAAGCATAGACTTTAGCAGCAAAAAGAAGCATGTTTGCAATGTTTGATATTCTAATCGCCAATGTCTCGCTTTTAGCCAAATTATCCTGCTCTTCCTATGTACACAAAACACAAAGAACCTCAGAAAAGTATAAATTAACAAGAACAAATGCATCACAGGTTTCAACAAATGTGACAAGTAGTAGCCTCATCTAAGCCAACCTTTGACATTCCAGGAACAAAGCCACGTTCTGCAAGTTCATCCATTTCAGTAAATCCCTCAAGCATCTCTACTTGCTGCTGGTAATAATCTGCCACATTGTCTTCCGGACCTGAAATCACCAATACATATAGCTTCACAAAATCATATCTGATCTCATATTTGATCACAAAATCATATTTGTTGACATTACTTCAACATCCAAAAGAAAGATTAGAGAATAAACTCTAGACTAATCACTACCAAGATTCAACTAAATCTCAACTTCATAACAAGAGTAAAAATATATCTTTGAAGAATCAAAAAAATGCTAAAGATAGCAAACAAAAGACGCCGAATTCAAATTTTATCAGCTGCTGCTAAAGATTGAAACTGAAGAAGACGAAAAAAAAATGGAAATGTGGAGAGGAGGAGGAGCAAATTGTTTACCCAAACAACCAAGACAGTTGTGTAGTTTACTCGGAGTCTTCTTCTCCTTGTGCTCCTGTGAAACCTGGAAATCATCGAAATTTAACTGCCAGGAACGGTCACCGTTACCGTGAAACTCGAGCAGCGAGATCCCTTCGTCGGAATCTTGACTAGCTGGCTCAACCATTTTTCCGGTGAGAGAATTGCGGCGGCGGCGTGGGAAGCTGTGTTTTTGTTTTTGGAGAGAGAGAGAGAGTGGTAAGAGAATGGAAATTTGAAGAGACGGCGAGGGTAAATTTGGTAATTAAGAGAAAGATTGAGGCTAGCCACTACGACTGTTGTGGTAGTAAGACATTCCACAGAGATACTTGGACCAGGCTTAGAAGAGACGTCTCTGTTAATTATCCACGTGGCGTTTTCTCAATGGATCTGGGATCTCGCACGTGATTGGAGGAGTCATCATAGACACGTGTACAGTTGAGATTCAACTGCAATTAAAGGACCCCTTGACAGGGTTATCAAGTATGTATGTATATGATTGTGACCTTTGAACCTTATGTATTTTTTTTCTTATTAATAATTAGTATAAAAACTGTGTTAGATACAATACAACCGACCCAAGATATAGAAGAACCTTTGGAAATTGGTAGAAGCCAATAGAGCAAAAGCTTTCTTCTTCACAAATCTTGTAAAATATTAGACATGTAGAGCAGGCTTGTTGTTTAGTTTGGTGACCAAATGGTTGTTTATTTGCTTTGGTTTGGTCAAAGCTTCTTCCATTATTGATTAATTAGCCAGCTCTGGTGAGATAAAATCAAACTTGTATGCTTTTACGCCAATAACATGACAATGAAAGCAAAATAATTTTGGAGTGTGATCTTCCTATATCCAAAACATGGAAGAAATTCAATGATTTTTTTTGTGATCAGAGGTTTTTTGTGCAAAGGCCCAAATTATTTTACTGGGTTAGATGATGATTGTGGTAAAAAGCCCATTCTAGGCCCAACAAAGTATTTAGGGTTTCAGTTTCCACTATAAAACTTGTTGCGGCGTAAGTTAGGGTTTTGAGATTCAGCTGCTTCACCTCTCCAGGTTTGTGTGTCGATTTTGCAAACTCTCTCTCGAAATCTTCCTACATTTCTTTTTCCGATTCTTAACAGAGTTTCGTTTTCTTGGTTTCTATCAAAATATTAACAGATTTCGAGTCTGAAGAATCATTTCGAGCCATGTCTCCGGCTAAAGGTACGATTTTTTCATTGATAACCTCTTGAATCTTCACTAGATCATCATAGATTTGGAATCTTCTACTAGACTTTAGTTTTGATGGAAACGCTATATAACTGGTCTCGATTAATGTTTTCTAATCATGTTTCGTTAGGTGCTTAGTTTCCATATCTTCCTGATTAGCTAGATTAATGGAGTAATCATGTATCCAATTGAATTTGGTCTGTAGATGAAATCTACACGAATTCATTTTTCTTCGTTGAGAGTGTTAATATGTCCCAAGTTTGAAGCAAATGCAGTTATGTTATCAAAAGTATTATAAGTTGCTTAAACTCTCTGTTGGATTATGCAGTTGATACTACCAAGAAGGTTGATCCTAAGGCTAAGGCCTTGAAGGCGGCTAAGGCAGTGAAGTCTGGTCAAACCTTCAAGAAGAAGGACAAGAAGATTAGGACTAAGGTCACCTTCCACAGGCCAAAGACTCTTACCAAGCCCAGAGATGGTAAGTACCCAAGAATCAGCGCTACTCCAAGGAACAAGTTGGATCATTACCAAATCCTTAAGTACCCACTCACCACTGAATCTGCAATGAAGAAGATTGAAGACAACAACACTCTTGTCTTTATTGTTGACATTCGTGCTGACAAGAAGAAGATTAAGGATGCTGTTAAGAAGATGTATGACATCCAGACCAAGAAAGTGAATACACTCATCAGGTACTTCAAAGAGAGTTTTATTTAAAGCCTTGTTTTTGAGTTTGATTATGTTGATTATATTTTGACACAATGATGTGTTTTTGCTGTTACAGGCCTGATGGAACCAAGAAGGCTTACGTGAGGCTTACACCAGACTATGATGCTTTGGATGTTGCTAACAAAATTGGCATCATCTAAGTCTCTTATCTATCTTTGCAGTTATGAAGACTCTTGTGGTTTTGTCTCTTGTAGTCTCAGTTTTGCTTTAAGATATTATTACCATCATCTGGTAATTGTAGTATTTGAGGCAAAAACGTTTTACAATACATTCTTGTTGCAGTTTATTGTTGAATTCAAGTTCTATGTTTTTGACTTCTCACAAAATCTCATTATAAAATGGAAACATACAAATGCAGTATCTTCACTAATCAGTAAATGACCTTAAACCGATCTGTCACCACATATTTGTTTGAATCTTTCATTATCCTTTTATCCACATGTTAATGAATGGAGAAGCAAAGAAATGACGAAAATCAGAAATGTCTTATCCACACACAAGAACACTAAGGCAATGTTCATTGATCTCGTCTAAAGTCTTGTGAATTGTAGCCATTATGGCAGCAGTCTCGTCACTCTCAATACGCTATGGTGTCTCACCAACAATCTCCCACAAGGTTAATTACACTCTTCTGTTTCCACTCCATCTCGATTTCTGAAAAATACAAATTATAATTCTTCACTGATTATATAGACATTGATTCAATTTCTTACCAGACAGAGATTCTCTGTCCAAATCCATCACTCAAAGCTTGTTTACTTTCATCCGGTGGCAAGGCTGACTCCTCAGAGAATAGTAAGAAACCAAACTCTTGTTGACATTTCCCTTGTCATAATACATTGACTTGTGTGGACTGATTTATATATATTAACAATTCAATAGCTTACCAAAAAGGCAGCGGAAGCAATTGGAAGAGAAGGCAAGCTCTTGTGGGAGTAGGAACCTTAGTGGCAACTTCAATTCCAGCAGCTTTGCTTCTTGCTGAAGGTAATCTACAAATATAGAGTTTTTTTCATCTCTCTTTTTTCATTCTTTTGGGACCAAAAGCATAAATGTGTTGGTTCATATCATGTTTGCAGAGATACCAAAAAGCTACTCGCCTTTTGTGGATCGAGAAGACGGGTAT